TTAGTCATAATTCATGGAGCTTTATTGTGTTTGTATCACATGTCATGACTTGTTGCTCAACTTGTTAATCTTGGAAACTTGGGATATTATCAAGAACATGACTAGACTAGGACTTGGTTCTAGTACGGGGGATTATCCCTCTACAACTATAGTGCGCACTAGGGGAAAGGTACCCATGGGTTAATAGCGCTAAAGTGATCTCGAGAGTACGGTTTTAATCCAGGCAATATCCAAGTATCCACTTTGGTTTGATTTTGCATTTAAATCCAAGTTGTAACTTTGTTAATTTACATCTCATTGTATTATGTTGAAAGTTCTAATGTCACTTGATAGCATGAATTTAATTGTATTGAATTACAAACTTGGTATAAAGATAAACCTATGCATTCCCTACGAGTAAACTTATTTACTCACCCCGAAGTTACCGGGTATTTTTCAAGTAAAGAAGCAATATTGTGGGATGCACAACAACCTTAGACTTGCTAGACTACTTGGAGCATTTTTTTGCTATGTTAGAATATGCACTTGTTAGCATATTATACTTTATTTTGGTTATTTTGTTAAAAACTTGTATTTATTGTTCAAGACGTGTAATGTGCACTTAAGTGCACCTTTTGATTCTCGTTGGATGGGTGTGTAATGAGGCTAAGGGCCAAACATGCTTAACTTAACACTTGTAGTCATTTGGTACCAACCTTTGCTTTAAAAAAAAAAAAAAAATGTTTAAACCAATCTTGAAGGTTTGGCATAGGAAATTCTTGTAATGGACATGTATAAGGCTTTGAGTCATTGTAATACATTCATTTAGTCATTTCAAGGTTGTTGGCATGTTTACATACTCATAATCTCATTGAAAATCAGTTTTAAACTCTCTTTTTTGAACCAAATCATCATAGGATTCAAAGCATGGGTTGAAACTTAGCACCTTGAACTCAAAGCAACTTTTTCAGCAGCTTTTCGTGGTGTTTTGGTCAACTAAAATTCCATTTTGGTCAACCGATGGCATTTGGGTTTGTCAATGCACAGAAAAATCACATTCCAGTAGCCAAATACATTGTTCAAGGGTCATTTCAGTCAACAGAACCTTTATTTCGGTCTACCGAAGCACCAAGAACCTTTTTTTTCATGTTTTCAGCTCTTGGCATCTTCATTTCGGTCATATAAAACTTCATTTCGGTCAACCGAAATAGCTTGATCCCGAGACTAGCTTCTGTTGAGTTTCAGCACTAATCTTTCAACTTCAAAGGGTTATAACTTCTTCATTTCTAACCCAAATGGGGTGATTTTTGAGCCTAAACTCAAGGATTTTGAGTCAGATTTCCAATGGTACCTATCCCATTCTTAGATTCCAAACACAGTGAGAGATATGTATGTTTTAGTGAAGTAGTGTCAGTTTTTACTTAAACCGGGAAAGGGCATTATGTGGGATTCTTTGCCAATGTTCATGGAACCTCTTAGAATGTTTCAAAATGATTAGATTAGGTTGTATTCACCTTGTTTGACTTTTTTAGAGTCAAGTTTCTCCTTTGAATTGTGAATTGACCTTTTTGCCCCTTAGATGACGAATTTTGTCCTTTTTGATCTTTGTTTCTGTTTTTGTTCTCTTTAAGCCTTGTGAACTCATGGAGGGTCACATTTGTGTATTAGGAGTGATTCTTACCTCTTAAGACACTGATTTACCTTTTGCTTCCACATTTCGGATCCGTTATCGGATTAATTTTCGGTTCAGCACATACGCACCGGGTTGAAGAAAACTCGGGTCGTTACAAACACGAAATCAATACAAAATGGTAAAATAAGATAGGTAAAGGTTCTAGAACACCTAAGCTTAAGGGGTTTAAATACGCATTTTTCAGCGCTCATCACACCCCCAAACTTAAATATTGCTAGTCCCTAGCAATGAACTAGAAAGTAAAGGAATGAAATGAACAACTATACAATTATGAACTAGAAAGCAATAAAATGATAACGCCATTTTTGTAGGGAACATGGTTGCATTTAGCATATGCAACAAGTCTTTCAAACCCCTAGGTTACCCCTAGTGGACGAGTGAAGTCTCGTGAGAGTTTCCAGAAATGATACCCACAAACATTAAGCTCATTCTTTCAAAAGAGGCTCCAATATTGCAAACAATCATTGGGAGAAAACTACCTCAAGTATGCAATTTTTCAAACATTTCTAAGCAATATCCCAAAATCTCAACATCAAGCAAGCAAGTATGGTCCTTCACACATCAAGAAAATGATCATGCAAATCAAAACAACTCTAGAATCCTTTTTGAGTGGACCAGCATCAAGTATGTTGCTATCTTAGCTAACTAAAGAAATGATCACATCCTTACCCTCAAACTAGCACACAAATCTAGTACCGATCATCAAGACAAAAAGTGGACCTTTTATTTAAGCCTTATTGTTCAAGGTGCGCTTATTCTTTTCACTCGATTTTTTTTTTTTTTTTTTTAATAGGATCAAAGATGGAAGCATGGTGCAATGTGTTGATCTATTAAGCTTTTTAGCGATCCATGAGGTCGAGCGTTAGGTCAATGACTCCCAAACCGAACGGCTTTTGGGCATTAGGTGTTCAAACACCCCTACGGACTTACAAGCTCAAATCAATTAGGCTACAAATCAAAATAACCTCCATCTAATCATTTCCTACTTCTCACCTTTTTGGGAGAAGTCCTCACTTTTTTATTGCTTTTGCAACTTCTTCTTCTTCTTTTTTCTCTTTTTTTTTTTCTTTTTTTTTTTTTTTTTTAAGTTCAATTATTAACCTAGAGTTTGGGCCCTCCACCTTTCGACGTGAGAAGTTCAGTGCTTGATGAGGCTAGAATCCCGGCTACGTAGTGAAAAGGGGTTGTTATCCACCTTTATCAAGAATGAAAGCTTTTAATGCACTACTAGCCCAATTGGAATACAACCAATTCAATAATCAACAAAGCATATACCCCACAAATGAATGCTAGTGTGCGCCTATGCTAATGTAGAATACTAGAGTGAATCTCAAAATAATCACAAAATCAGGATGATATGGACCACTAGTGCAAGCAAGATATCAATTTTTCAAAAAAAATTACTCCTAAATGGCATCCACAAGGCATACAAGGAGTATTGGACTCTCAAGTCAATCAATTTTTAAATTTAAGCAGTATAGTCCTCAAAAGATCAAAATCATAGCTAGTTATGGACCAATCATAGAAACTCTCTCAAATACACAAGTCATGCTCAAAATTTTGAATTCAAAAAACAAACACTGCAAAGCACCATTACCCCCAAACTTAAATGGCACAATGTCCTCAATGTGCAAAGAGAACAAAAGGAAAGAGTATACCAGTGCAATTAAGGCAAAGAATGGCTGGGACAGAAGTATCCAAAGTGGGTGGCATAGCCCCCCCAAACTTGGGATTAACTGTGGTCCTGAAAATTTTGCACTTGGATAAGCTCATTAGATAACAAAAGGGATAATAATAGTGTACAGTGGACATGCAAGTGTAAATGGGATAGCAACTAAAAAATAGAGAGAGGTATCAGGGTGGTCCTGAAAATTTTGGGCAGTACTCTCTCTCATTGAAGTCACTGGGATACATCTGATAGAGTCAAATAGATAGCCATAAGAATATGAAAATATAACATCCATACAGAAAACATATATAAATAAATAAAAATAAAGTACAGTACAGCCAATATGAAAGCCGATAGACACTGCTGCAAAAATAATATAGCAGTATCAAAAATATGTAGAGATCACAAATATATGAGAGAAGTAAAAAGATATGGAAATCATGAAGAAGAGGTAGAACGGGCAGGTCGCACTCCGTGGATGTCTCCGGATAGATCTCTGAATGCGGTCATGACATCAGTACGGAGGGAAGCAATATCAGCTCTAATGGAGATAGCATCCTCTTAAAGAAAGACCATGTCGGCGCAGATAGATACTACAGCATCCTCCAAAGCCTAGAGTCGCTCTCCAAAGCCGGGTGTCTATGCTGGAGCCTCACGTACCGTTGGAGCGAGAGAATGATGATCCTGAGCCTGCTCCACATCGTGAATGGGTGACCCAACTGGAGAGTGCTGCTCTGCGTCCTCTGCAGGTTGCTCCAAATCGATGTCCATATGTATAGTAGCCGGATCGACTGGTATATCGTCCGCTACCGGGTCTGATGCTACTGCTGCCTGCTCTTCTGCCTCTAACTCCTCAGCTGCCTCTACAGCATCATCCCTCAGACTCTTGATAAGAGCATTGTAGCTTTTATCCTAATCCTTCTTCTTGAAGGAACAGGCCCCAGACTCAGTCTGCTCCCGTAGCTGGAAGGGATAGCGCTGGTCTCGTAGAATCTGGGTGATAAGATGGCCAAATGGAAGATACTTAGCCCTTTTGGGCTTGGCTTTGCTGATGTGGTCGACATACAACTTCATCATGACGCTCCAGATGAGCACTGGGATAGATAGCTAATGCCCTGTATAGAATGCGTACAGAGCTGTCAAATAGTCGTCACGCCTCTGCGTCTTATGGCCGGCCATAAAGATGTTACGAAACAGGACAGAGTCAAAAAACTACAGGTCATCTAGAAGATAGGTCTGGGTGGCATAGGTCTCATCACCGGCATAGTGACCTGTAAGTAAAACGGCCGTGTCTACATATGTAGGCCTGTAAAGAGTGGGATATATGTCCTATAGCTCTGAAGGGTAGGTGTGTGGACACTGGCAAGATCTGGACAATGTGTCCATAGTGATGCAGATCGGGTAGCCATCAATGGTGGTCCGCAACTCTGCCAGGTTACTCAGAGCAGGTTAGAGATTCTGATAAAACATCCGGACCAACCTTGAGTACACTGGGTATGAGACAGGGGCTAGTATGGCTGAGATGCCCTGTCTGAAGATATCATCATATGCTGATCGGGTAAGCACCGATTGGGAAAAGAAGTCTGTGTCGAAGACCGACTTATGCGCCACTCGAAGGCGTGAGTATCTACGTAATAGCTGGTCTAACTCCTGGGCTGGCTAAGCTGGCTGTGGTGGTGGAGATGGTATATGCTCATCCTCAGCATCACCCTGTGAAGAAGATGCTCCGTCTGAAGACTGTAGGCAGCTGTCAACTAGAGACTGAGGTGGAGTGGTCTCCTGGGCATGAGATGGTCCGGCCTCGTCATCCAGACTCTGCTTGCCCCTACAGTGATAGTGTCCACGAGCTACAATCTTGACCTTAGCTGTGGTCTGCAAAATAGAAGGAAAAACTTGCAAAGGAAGTCAGTGCCGATATAAATATTTAAAGCACAATTCATAGAATCATGTATGTCAAATAGGATAGATAAAACAGATAGGGAACATGAATCTATTTAAGTAACAAGAAATAAGTGTCATGATGTGAAACATGCTAGACAGTATAAGTATGGAATGCATCCAATGTGGAAAACACAGGCATTGGGCATGTATGAGATGGCATGAAACACAAGAGATGGTGTGTAAGATGTGTGAAACAAATCTATGAAGTTCGATCGATCACAAAAATGTGAGATCGATTCAAGTTCGATCGATCAAGAATGACTGAGAATGATCTGTTACAGATCGATCGAATAAAAAGTTCGATCGATCGAACTGTGAAGTGAAATTCAAAAAGTCACAGATCTGTGACGTGGATGGCACAGGGCCTTCACAACTATGGTCGTGGGCCCATTAACATAGCAAATCAACCTATTGGGTCACTTGGTTCAGCCTATATTCCAAAAATTGAAACAAATCTCAAAATATATACAGCCATATATACATATATAGACACATATATACAAAGAGTTTCAAACTTCATCAATGAAGATTTTCAGCATCAAAATAGCTTAGATCTAGTATTTAAAACATATATTGAACAAATTGAAGCTTGAAATCACAAGAGGGAGGTTCGGATCTTACCGGAGTGAAGAGAGAAGTGGAGATGCGAACAGGGGGTGAGATGCGAGTCAAGATTCGAGAGGAGAGAGAGTGATTCAATGCCTGGGATACTCGCCGGAGTCTCGCCGGAGATGGGGAAGAGTTGGAATACAGCGGTGAAGAGGGAACGAGGGTCTGAGATCGATTCAAGTTGAATCGCTCGAATGACCCTGAATCGATTTTAAAAACATTTCCTTGCCAGTTCGATCAATCGAACTGAACCTCAAATCGATCGAACTGACATCGATCTCTCCTCTTAAGTGACAAAGTATTTCTGTGATTTTTGATTTTTTGATTTTTTTTATTATATAAATATATTTTTGGAAAATAAAAATAAGAAAATATATATATATATATATATATATATATATATATTTTGAAATTTTTGAAATTTAAAACAAAGTCAAAACAAAGTCAAAATTGCAAATCAAAGAACAAAGATCGATCTTCCCAAAATCGATCACAGAATACCTTCGATAGATCAAAAATGCATAGAATTGAAGAAATGTTCGATCCATGAGACAAAGAGGCTTTTGGATGCAGGTGGATGCAGGTTCAAAATTTTTCTAAGTGTTGGAACTACAGATCGATCCAAGATGAAGTTGGATCAGTTGAAGAAGTTTAGATCGATTTAGGAATAAGTTTGAACGATGGGACAGAAAGCTGAAATATGCAGGTTTTATTCGAACCACTGGACAGAGAGTGATTTGGATGCAGGTTTGATGCAGGTGGGAAGTTTGATCGATCGAACTCATTTTGAGATCGATTGAACTTATGCAAAATGCTCAATTTCAACATAAAGGTGCATAAAATCCTAATCACAGTTCCTAGCAATGCATATGAACCCAAAGCCAATATCTAGACTTCGCAAGAAATGAAATTAAAGATATAAATGAGGGAGGAATAGGGTTTTGACACCCTACGAAATGTCTTGCTAGTCTTTAACGTCTCTAGCAAGACGTTAGGCTCTTTTTGCCCGGATCAAACATCTTATAGTGCATCCCCTCCTCAATGGGGTGATAAGTGCTTTGAACTCCATCCAACAAATGGTTCTTTAAGGAAATTGTTGGATTAAGCTCAAAAGATGTTTTTGGTCCTTGGTCAAGAAAATCTTTGGGCTTCCACGCCCTTTCAAAACAAGATTTTGAGACAACTTTCTTTGGTTTCAAGGTTGAAGATGGACTTTTTGAAACTTTGGTCTCAAACAAAAACTCAATTCCTTCACATTTAAGGTTATGACATTTCTCTACAACATTAATCTCTTCATGCTTATCAAATGAATTGGGGGTTGGATTAAAAATATTCAACTTTACCTTCATGTGACCAAATGAAATCTTCATTATCCCCGTCCTACAATTAATGTTGGCATTCGCAGTTGCCAAGAAAGGACAACCAAGGATAACGGGAATTTGGCTCTTAGGATTTGGGACCAGTTCCGTGTCAATGACAACGAAATCAACGGGAAAGAAGAATTATCAATTTTAATCAAGACATTCTCAATGATACCCCTAGGCTTTTTGATTGATCGGTCGGTAAGTTGTAAAACTACCGACGTCGGTTTCAAGTCTCCCAAGCCTAATTTGACATATACCGAATATGGAAGAAGATTAACACTTGCTCCTAGGTCAAGAAGAGCTCAATTAATGATATAATCACCAATGATGCATGAAGTAGTAGGTGAACAGGGGTCCTTAAACTTTAAAAGAGTGTTATGCTGCAAAATTGAGCTTACTTGTTCGGTTAAGACCACTTTTCTAGGTGCTTGACTTTTGTTCTTCCTCTTTTGGGTACACAAGTCTTTCAAGAATTTGGCATAAGCCGGAATTTGCTTAATTGCATCCAAAAGTGGAAGATTGACGTTCACTTGCCTAAACACATCCATAATTTCATTTACTTTGGCCTTTTGCCTGTCATTTGAAATGGATCCTTTTAAGGCATTCGGAAATGGAGCTTTTGGTTCAAAAACCTTTTCAAAAATTTTCTTTAAAGTCTCTTTAACAAAAGAAGTTTTCAAATCATTTTGTAAATCTTTCTTTTCAAAATCACTTTTCAACATATTCTCATTTATATGGTCATGCACATGCAATGAAGGAGGAATAGGATATGAAACGGGATGGGTGTTAATTTGTGATTGCACTGGTTCACTCTCTTCATTGGACATACCCACTTAGTTGTCCACAACCTTTCCACTTCTCAAGGTAGTCACCGCATTGACATGCTCTATTGTGTGACCTTCCGATAAGGAATGAGTCTCCACAACATATTGTTGCTTTTGTGGGGCATTCAAAGGCATTTTTCCTTTCTCTCTATCATTTAAAGTGCTAGCTATTTGCCCTACTTGGGTTTCTAGCTTAGCAATAGATTGAGAGTGAGAATGAAGTAATTGTGTGTTTGCCTCTAAAGTGCCCAAAGTGGTCAAAACTTTCTCTTCAAAAGCGGGACTTCTAATATTTCCTTGAGAATATGATGGTTGATTAGGAAAATGAGAATTAGAGAATTGGTTTCCTTGTGATTGGTATAATGATCTAAAACCTAGGAACCTTGGCCTTGCATTAGAGGTGGAATGTACTTTCCATGAAAACCACCTTGGGAAGGGTTTGAGCCCTCCCCTTGGCTTTTCCAAGAGAAATTCGGGTGATTCCTCCAACTAGGATTGTAATGATTGCCATAAGGATTGTTCCCTTGATTAACAAAAACAGCATTTGCTTGTTTATGATACTCACTTTGCACATGTCCATGGGGAGTAGAATGTAAAACACTTGAACAAGTCATACATGTCTCATTAGATGTATGATAAGAATGGTTAGGGAAGGAAGATACTTGATTCACTAAGTTTTGGTTGATCAAAAATTGATCAAACCTTTGAGATAATGATTTCATTTCGGCGGCAATTTCATTGGAGTGGTCGACTTGATGTAAGCCAACACTCTTCTTACCACTAGAATTTCTACCATTCTTCGAAGATAAAGTACGATGCAAAGAATTTTCACTCATGCTCTCATAAAGACGCCACACGTCATCCTCATGCCTATCAATGTAAGAGCCACCCATGGAAGCATCAACCATGCCCTTGTAATTATCCGATAAACTCTCAAAGAAATATTGAACTAATTGCCATTTGGGCATGTCATGATGTGGACACTTCCTAAACAATTCATTAAAGCATTCCCATGCCTCATGAAATGTTTCCCCATCCCCATGTGAAAATTCCCTAATTGAAGTTCTCATGGCATTGGTCTTAGAAATCGGATAGTACTTCTTCAAGAACTCTTGTTGCATTTCCACCCAAGAAGTTATTGAAAAAGGCCTAAGATTGTTAAACCAATATTTTGCCTTGTCTTTAAGGGTAAATGGAAAAAGTTTAAGCCTTAAGACCTCTTCCAACATGTTCGTATATTTCACGGTGGAACATACTTCACGAAACTCATCCAAATGCTTGTAAGGTTCTTCACTTGGAAGTCCATGGTAGTTAGGAAGTATTTGAATGGTTTGTGGCTTGATTTCATAGTGGTGTGCTCTAAATGGTGGCAATTGAATGCATGTAGGTGCATTATATTCAGTAGGCACATAGTGATCTCTTAAAGCAAGGGGAAGATTAGTAATTGGAGGTGCAACATGGGCACCTTGATTGCCTTAAATGATGGAAGGTGGTGGAGCATAGATTGGCCTTGGCATTCCCAATGGAACTTGGCCTTGTTGTTGTGCTGGATGAACAAATGGTCTCGACATGCCTAATAAAACTTGCATGTTATCATAATGCACATTGGGGTGGAGGATACCTTGTTGGTCTATGTGACCAAGGTCCCCCACATGGTCCTCATTGTGTCTTTCCATTGATGAAATGGATTGACTAGAACTACCTCTTCCCCTAGGGTTTCGAACAATGGATTCAAGATAAAAATTAAAGGGACAAGAGTGGGTCTCAATGATCTATGACCATGTATGCACAATGTAACACAATAAGCAATAATAACAATCAACAACCTTCCTCCACACTTAATGTTCCCATACTCCCATTCTTTAACAACAATATGCAGGAAAAGTAAATTGCCTCCACGTGGGCTCACGATTTATCTAAGAATTGAATTACAAGCCTCCATACGGGCCGATAATTTAACTAAGGGTTTGAGTAAGAAAAAGCTCACAAAGGTCCTTTAGCACTTCAACTCCAAATTTTTAGCTTTTAGCTTAGCAATTTTTTTTTTTATTTTATGATTTTAGCCTTTTTCCTTGCTTGCTTAGCTCCTTTGCTTAGATGCTCCTTTGCTTGCTTCCTAGCTCAATACTCCTAG